TGCAAAAAAAAAAAAAAAAAAAAAAAAAAAAAAAGCACTGCCTAGTACCACATCTTAAGACGGTACACTTCTTCAGGTCTACTCTCTCAGACTTGTCTAGAAGGTAATAGAATAATAATTTAAGGCTTTATTTTTATAGTATAAATAAGTTTGGTTATAATTTTAGATTAAATAAAACTGAGACACATCTATCTGCAGAATTCATATCTAAGAGATCATGAGAGATTACAAAACAGGTATTCAGCAGACACGAGGCACAAAATGTGTAATATAACATCAAGACTAAACGTATTTTCTTGGCACCCTGAGAAATTCTTGTGTAGAACAAAAGCTGAAATCAGAGAATCTAAAAGCTTCTTACCTGAATTTAGACTCCTACAGCAAGTGCAGTAAGCCTAGCCTTTATTCTTTGTGACAGTCCCTTTTCAAACATTTAGTCATTTTAAAAGAAATCAGTCCAATGATGATTAACCACCATGTTGGCTCCAGACAAATAAATTTTAACTGTTCAGTTATAGCACATTTGAATAGGTTAAAGGTTACAGTAGTAATAATTGTTCCAAATTTATGCATTTTCTTTAATACTATTTTTGAAAGTTTGATTTATGGAAAGGCCTTACATTTGTTTGTTCAGTTAGCTTGGCGACTTTTTCTTTATTTTTCTTTTACTTCGAGAATGCTTTGCTGCCTTAAAGATGGTATCACAAACAGAAAATACAATTTGTGTTTTAGAAATAAAGCCATGGATTCTGTACATGTGCTCTTAACACATCCTGAAGAGCTGAAGAGCATCAGCCATCTTCTGCCAATAAGCAAGGCACTTTTTCCTTACACATATAGCTGCAATGTGTTTTCCGAGGTATTTCAAACTCTTCCAAATGGAAAATGAATTCAAGGAGATGTTGAAAGAGAAGATAAAATAGACACTTTTTGCTTGCTTAACCACGTAAGGTTTCAGTATATTGCAGAAGATGCTGCATACATGGACTAGAAATTGCCCAGCAGCGGTGCCTGGGTCTGCTAAGTGACAATACAGTCTGCACAACTGGTTCCTCACATCAAACCCGAGGGAAGGCCGGCCAGTTTCCTCGCATCAACCAGGAAAACAGGTTTTAGAAATGTAAGACTCTTTGCCTACTTTTAAGTTTTTCTGTTTTTTAAAGTAAAAATGAAGTTTATTT